CAAGTTCCGACCTCTGGGTCGGAACCTTTTTTACACGGGATAATAGGAAGATGAACAGTAGTGTGGAGTTCTCCTTTTAAAGTTCCTTGTTTTTATCAAACACAAAAACTTTAACAGTAATAGGTGAAGTTCCTTCTTCCTCTTCTAACTTCCTGTTATCAAACACTCCCGAAGGGGTTCGCTTGGTTCATGTGCATCAGTTTGCATATGTAAAATAAACAGTTTACTGTGCAATAGTTTTCCAATCTTGCTTTTTTCCATGTTTGGTCCATGTACCTGGAATTCCTGTACACCAATCTCTTTTGTTCGGTAATCCATTCGTAAACTATCCCCCGATCTCTCTCTCTCTCTCAAACCCATTTTCTCTTTTTAGAAATCTAAACTCTATTTCTCTTTCTAAAAACCCGATCTCTCTTTCCCTCTCTAATACCTAATTTCTCTCTCTAAAAACCAATCTTTCTCTCTAAAAACCCATTTTCTTTATCTAGAAACCCAATCTCTATTTCTCTATCTAAAAATCTATTTTTTAAAAAAATCCAATTTCTCTTTAGAAATCCAATCTCTTTTTCTCTCTCTAAAAACTCAATCGATCTCTCTCTCTAAAACTCAATCTCTCATTCTCTCTCTAAAAACCCGTGTTTTCTCTTTAAAAACTCAATTTTTCTCTCTAAAAACCTATTTTCTCTCTCTAAAAACCTAATCTCTCATTCTCTCTCTAAAAACCCATTCTCTCTAAAAATCCATTCTCTCTAAAAACTCTTTCTCTTTAAAACCTCAATCTCTCTTTCTCTCTCTAAAACCCATTCTCTTGAAACCTAATCTCTCTCTAAAAATCACTCTCTCTAAAAACCCAATCTTTTTCTCTCTAAAAACTCATTTGCTCGCAATCTCTCATTCTCTCTCTAAAAACCCATTCTCCTTGAGAAGTCAATCTCTTTAAAAACCCTCTCTAAGAACTAGCTTCAAAAGAGAGAGAGAGAATGAGATGACGGAGGGAAGAGAAAGAGACGGCGGATGGAAGAGAAAAAGATTTCTTTCTTTTTCTTCTGTTTTTGGTTTTGCTCCCCACCTTTTGGGGTGAAGATGTCTTTTCAAACCATTTGCTCCTTGTGGTGGCAGAAACTTTCCAATGGAACAAGTTTTCATCGGCTTAACGCACAAACCAAACGTCGTGTAACTGTATGTTTCATATGAAAATTGTCTCATGCGTTTGCATATGAACCAAATGAGCCCGAAGGAAAAAGCCCACTAATTTGGTTTGAGAAACTAGGTGGCAAGCCCATATTAGTCCCCACAAGCAAGAAATCAGAGAGAGATCCTATCCAACAAAAGAGAGTTTCTTCATATGAATGGCTGGAGAAAGTGTTTGGAATGTGGACTGACCCATCATTCAGTCAAGAGCAGAAGGCTGTTGAAGCACCAAGGAATCCAATACCAGTACATAGATCTTTCTATCAAAAGCCACTCACTTTTACACTGCAACCCGGTTTACAAGAAGGTCCCCTTCCTCTTACATGGCCAAATGCAGTGGCTTAGAATATATACAAAAGAAACTTGGCCACAAAAACCCCACCTTGGCCAAACATCCTCATGAGAGAGCAGTGCCTTGGATTTGGGCCAAATTCTGAGATGATAAGAGAACCCTTCTTCCCTTGCTAATCACTATAGCATTTTCTAGTTTTTCAAAGTTCAGATTTAGAAAGTTTCTGGCAAAGCATCTGGAGAGGATGAACAGTAGAGATTAAAAATGACCAGGTGGATGACTACTCTCTGCCGGCTGTCTTGAAGAAAGAACGGCAGATGCCCTACAATGTCGTGTACATACATTAGTGGTGTAAGGCTACTCGTCTAAATGTATGAGGAGAAACAAATAATGTTCCATTTCGTCACAGTAAGAGCAATGACCATAAGGTCAGTCACTGTTCGATCTATATGTTGGATGATGATGGAGGGATATAGGATTTCGTCAATGAGAAGGTTAGTGGGACATACACAGTCCTCTCCATCAATATCCAACCCACTGGCGAGACACGAGAAAACCTCACGGTCATGCTGTTATGATGACCTAGATCATTATAATTATACAGATCCATATAGTAGTAACTGGGCAAATATACATTACACCACTAACAACAGGAAAATTAAACATAACTCTCAGTAATGCACAAACCCAAGTAAAAGTGATAGCTTCAATCTGTCAGTAGGAACAGACTGGTCGATGCTACCATATGTGCTTTTCTGCTGGATAGATTCCAGTGTCAGAATCTACAAATAAAAATGTCCATTCTGCATACCCTATGCCATACCATTCATGTATGAAATGTTTCTCCATAGTACCTCTCTCACTCTGGCCAGTGCAAATGCATAAACATTCTATGATACATACTTTCCTCTTTCCATTGTCATCAATTGGCAAACGACACAAATTTCATGCAAATTAAGGCTGTACCAGACAACAATGTGTGACCAATGAACCTCTATGTGAACATACTACATTCTAAAATACTACATTCTATCTCATACTTCTCTTTTCTTTTTGGGTTTTAGAGATGCTTCCTCTCCTATGGAGAATGTCATACTCAGAGCGAGATGAACAAGAGAAGGTTGTCCAAGAATTGCTCTAGCACCTTTCAAGTTTGGAAGAAGGCCTAGAGGGGAAGTTCTTCAGAGGCAACATTATTGTACTTTCCGATATTCTTCAGCATTGGGTTTCATGTTGGCCTCAAGTTCTCACAGAGTTTGGGAGTATTAAAGTTCATCGAGCCTGGGGATTTTCCTCGGCTTCAAGTATGTACCAGTGATTTGTTGGATGTTCCATTAATTGGAGAGAACCTACCACCTTTTGATCCGATGCTCACTAGCTTTCATTCGCAATGACAGGCTGGGCTCGCTGCCAAGAACAAGTCTTGAGAGAGTCTTTTCTTTTGGATGACTGTTGAGCTGTAAATAAACAAATTTGAACCGTAAGATCGGGTGATTGGGTATACGATAGCATGGTATAGGTGTTTGCCTTAACAAGTAGGCTCTCTCTTTCTAATAGGTCATCGCATGCCTTTATATTACTTGAGAAATACATGTACTTGCTTAAGAGAATTGATGAAGGAAGGCCATAATCCACATCATGCAAAACAAACAAACAAACAAAAAATGACATCATGGATGTCGCTTTCTACCAATAGAAATGGCATACCTCCTCATCAGGTGAAAAGCATAACACTGAAATCCGTCCAGTGACAGCCTTACTATAACAAACTTGGAAGTCCTGGTGGCCCACTGGCATCGACAACCTTCGTCATTGTCATGTTCCAAATACAAAAAGACTTCGCTCCATATACTCCAAAAATTTACTTTTTCATAACTTATCAAACCAAAATACATTTACAACAATAACAACAATTCGATGCAAGACACATATAATTGTGCATGTTATAAAGTACAAGGGAAGAAAAGAAAGCAATTTTTTCAAGGGAAAGTATAAAATAAAACCATTTACATTTGATATAGGGAGGTCACAATTACCCTCAGACATTGGACATCAAATCAGGTGGTTGAATTGAGTGCCATTGACTAGCTCAAAAGTCTCAAAGAAAACATTTTAAACTTTGTGACGCACCCCATGCCATTAGAGTTTACAATCGACTGCTAGGGATGATTGTGACGTCCTTATACCAAAGTTGAATGGTCTCATAGTATACAATCCCTTTTCCAATTAGTAGCTACCACGTGAGTGAAATAGATGTATGCCACTGGAAAGATTTGCCAATTGTATCTTTGCAAGTCATACTTGAATAGTGAAGCTGTGTATATCACCAAGGGCATGTCCAACTGATAATTGTGTATACGTCATGTAAGGCAAACATTGGAATTACATGGACCACTTCTCTAAGGGCAGGCATTGAACTCAGAAGGCAACCTTTGCCCAGTACAGAATTCCCATGGGCCACATGGTCTGTAAAATGAAGTTAACTTGTCAAATGCCAAAAGTTATTAATAAAAACAAAAAACGACAACTTCAAGCCTTCCTTATACCTTAAATGAGAACACTGTGGGCAACACAAAGATTTGAAGCGAAGATCCACCTAACTTTATAGAGAAGATAGAATAAACTTGGTTAAAACTCTTCAGATATTGCTCAAAATTAATTGATGAATCCAAGTCCACATTCTCCAATTAAAATATGCATTAAATCTCATTATCCAATTGATTTTTCAGCATTAACTATTTTGCATCTTCCAAGGCTCATGGTATTATGGTTTGCATTATCCAGTAAGAAAGAATTAGCTCAAAATCCATAAAGTAAAATGTGAATATGCTTGCCAAAGACAGTCTGGCACTAGAATAAGCCTACTCCATTCAAATCTATACTGACACTTCCACGGAACTCTATTTCTACGAATAAAGAAGCCAGTCACTTGCTCCTGCACTCTCCAGTGACCTGCTAATCACCACTAAATTTGTGACCTGCTAATCACCACCTAGCATGCAGTTCGAGAAATTTCATTACATTATTCATGTTGGATTGAATCAGAGTGGGTATAACGCCTCTTTCAACGTACTAATGTGTTGTTTTACAACCAGTTTACGTTGATGACATGCTGTCGAGGGTGACCACGAGGGTATAGATCACTACCAACATCTCCTAGAGAGGAAGTTTGAAATGAAGGATCAAGGTGTAATGACATTTCTTACAACTTGAAGTTCTTAGGCCTTAAAATGGATATTTTATAAGCCAATAAGATATGAAAAAGGTTATCCTTGCACTTGCTAATCTCACTGCCAATAAGGCCGTTCATTCAAAGATGATGGAAATGTATTAGAAAGCAGTACTATTATGTTTATTTGACATCATATGTCATTGACATCACCCAAAAAGTGCATGTTCTTAGCCTATCGTGCATGCACATCACTGGTTCAAATGATTATTTGGTATTTTAAGGGCATGTTTGGTAGATCACGCTTCTCTCCCTTATCATCCCAAATTGAGTTTCAAGATGCCAATTGTGCTGGACATTATTTACTATTGTGGAAAGTGTAAGAAACAACATACCGTTTAAATCCAGTATCAAATCAGGGTATCTGAGATGCCTTAGTAAGGTTATTTGGTTACAAGGGTTACAAAGATACAAATTTCTCATTCCAACTCCAACTCCAATTTGATATTCCACTTTCGGTCCAGGTTTCCTTTAATTCAGTTTTTCGTGGAAGCACAAAAACAATTAGGGAAATAGCCACTTAACCAAAGAAATTTGCTCATGAACATATGCATCTTTCTTATAAATACCTGTCCGCAGACAAAGCCACTCTCAAATCTTGGTCAACAAACTGATGTTCATGAATAAAGAACATCAGTGTGAGAAAAGCATGTTGGTAGTCACAGAGAAATAGTGTCATTTTACTTGGATTTCCATCTATTTCTGCAGTACATGGCTTTATGTACTCTTATCTCTTTATCCATGGGCATCAGAGGAGAGGAGTGCAGAACCCCAGAGAAGTGAAGCATAGTTCCTCACGAACTGATGCATCTTCACATGTCCCACTTTCTCTGCACAAACTTCTTCTTTTTGTAGATGTCGTAACACCCAAACCTATAGATGTTCATTTTGAAGAAGAGAATCCAAAATTAGTGTTGTGGAGAAGGTTTACAATCATGTTTAATAGTTTACGTATAAGGAAAAAGGATGGCATTTGGAAAAGGAATTTAAGGTTTCACACTCTGGCTAGTTGGCCTGTTGGAAAGAACACCTTAAGAGGCCCGAAACACGTGACTTCTCTCCTTGTCCATTTTATGACTGTGGTGAAAACCGAAGGAACCTTCCTTGAAGTGCATCAAAAACTAGGTCCATTGAGGGTTCCCCACGGTGGTGGTCTGCAGAAGTGAATCATTGTAATTTTGGGATGCTACTATTGTTTTACGATGCAGCAGAGGAACAAGTTCTGGCAATGAAACAGTATCTCATACAAGCTTGTAATTTTTGGATGCTACTATTGTTTTATGATGCAGCAGAGGGACAAGTTCTGGTAATGAAATAGTATCTCATACAAGCTTCGACTAACGTACTTCCATGTTAAGTAATCACAATGGAAGCAACAGAATTTTACATGCAATGCATATCACACATGCATGTGTTCAAAAAGCACATATTCTTCAAAGTGAAGCATGTTCTTCAGCTTTCACAACATGTAGAAGAAACAAGGATCTATTAAAATTTAAATGGAAAACATGACAAGAATAAATGCATATACAATCAAGAATCAAGTAAATCATTGAGCACTAGAAACAATTCACCAAGGATGTCATGGATATGGTTGACGAAACATGATTAATTTTCAGGAGACAAGACAAATCATAATTAGTCTTAGACAAAAGATTAAAAAACAAAAACAAAAACAAAAACTGCATGCCATACATAAAAGGGAAAACCGCAAAATAAATGTTCTATGTCTGATATCAATGACATGTATTTTCACTCTGTTCTTATTAAAGAAAGCCAAAAGGTTCCATGCTCCAATGGGAGAATATTCTGCATTTATTTCATCAGGGAAAACCCAACCTAGGAGTATTTTTAGGACCCCAAATTTTGGGGATGTAAAGTCTTCAACCTATAGACTAACCTCAAGAGAAAAAAAAAGAAATTCCACTATATGCATGAAAATAAAACACATCAAGATTGAATAGAGACCATCCAATTGTTTTAGGGTGGGGTCCAAGTGTTTAGAGAACTCAAAATCCAAAGTTTTTATTTTGAAATAAATCAAATAAGGATACTTCGGTGTTTCCCTAATTTTGAGACCAAAAAATCCTCCCAAGTCTTCCTGTGAGGAGTAAATGCAGAGTATGCTCTAGCAGGAACATAGTACATGTGCTTTTAAAGTATTGCCAACAAGAAGTTGTAAACGTTACCAAGGTAGAGAGCCAAGGTTTTCAAAGCACCACATAAAACAAAGTCACAAGTGAAACTAAATAAATAATGAACCAGAAGTAGTAGTCCAAATTTGGCTCTCAATTACATTCACAAACCCAAGCATATCGGCCATTGCTAAGCTTGGAAGAAGAACTCCAATCAACTCTTCTGGTTTACTAGCTCAGTTGGTAAAAAGAAAATTGACTTGGCGCTATACTCAGGATCCACTATTGCGTCCGTTTCTAAATTCATAGGTTATTCCGACTCTATGGAGGAAGAGGCAACCGCGCTACTTGAGGGTGTCAAGCTCCTTCCTCCCTTCACATTCGAGTCCCTCACCATTGAGGAGACTCCGAGAACATTATTGCTTGGGCCTCCAAATATTCTCCCCAACACTGGGTCTGTAACAATCCTAAACTTTCAAAAAAAAAAAAAAAAAAAAAGGAAGACAATAAACTTTTAATAAGTGATGGTCCATATGAGCATGATGGTCCTTAAGGACCATCACTATTTTCAAAAGCTTTTGACTTAA